CCCACGAGGTGCACGCAGGTGGAGTGTTAGGCAGCGGGCGCCAAAAGGCCAGCACCTTTAAGTCGTTATGCAGCGCGTGTCCCACGAGAATCCGGCCCTTCAGCATCTCTGCCACTTCCTTCTGAACAACTTCAAATTCTTCTCCTGAAATCAAGCCAAAGTAGTAGTTTTGAATGACAGCAAATCTGGCCATTGTCTGGTCATACCTCAGGGACAGGCAGGCTGAGTGCTGATCCAGGGTCAGCTACCTCAGGCCCACACAGCCCAAACTGAGGGCCAATGGCCTTCCCATCCACCCACCAGGGACAAGGGCTCTGCACCCTAGCTGGAAGAAGACAGGCCAGAGTCCACCCCACCTCCAGCGCAGCACCCCCAAGTGGGCATTTAGAGGTTCGCATTGCCCACTGACCACTGAATCTGCTAAAAAAACCAGGCTGGTGTTTTGTGTCTCTCCATCTGGAGACAAAAACAGGCTGGTCCTTGGCCCTATATGGTGGGAGGTGTCGCTCTGGCCCTTACCTCCCACCATCTGGGGCAGCCCCCCTGCTCTCTCAGCGGACCCCTTGGGAGCCCCCCCCAATCCCCAACAGGAGGGCTGCGGCGACCATCCTGACCCAAGCAGGACCGGTTAGAGCCTGGAACCTGCAGGCTGGACAGGCTGGGGTATGGAGCAGCACATTTTGTGTGCACAGGAAAAAGGGACCCAGTGGCCATTTCCTCACAGAGCAGTGGCCTCGATCCCTAAAGTTTCCAGGATCTCTTCTAGTCTCCAACCTCAGTATTATCCCGGATGCCTCTCTGCTCCTCCCACAGCCATCCCATCAGCAAGCCCCACAGACACGGCCTTTGGGGTGTATCCAAGCTGGGCTGCATGTCACCTACAGCCACCTACTGACCAGGTCACCACCAGCCATGCCTTGTCTTCCTATCTCCACTCTCATGGCCCTTGAGTCTATTCTGACAACCAGAACCAGACAGAATCTGCTAGAGCCTGAAGCAGACCAGGCCCCTTGCTCCACACAACCTTCCCATGGCTTCCCAAAGTCGTCACAAAGATCCGTGAGGACCTGTCTCACCTCCCACCCCCCTCACTGGCCTCCATTTCAGTCCCCGCTGCCTAGTGACCCAGAACAATTCAGGGACAGTGTTCTGGTCTTCAGGTTGGGTGGCTCTGAGGTGTGGAGGTACAAACACACAGGGTGAGAGTCATCTGAAGACCACTCGCCCCATGGGAGGAGAGACTGTTAGAAATTGTGCTATGGGGAATGCTCCAGAAAAGGGACCAAGAGGACAGTAAACCTGGTCATTGCTTATCCTTTCTAAGCTCATTAGCTGGGAATGACCCACCCTGCTTGAGGTGCTCCGGCCGGATCCCGCTGACCACCGTCCTGTAGTCAGTTACCGGCTGGGTTGGCTTGACATACTTGTCATAGACACACTTCCCATACTGGTTCACAATGGACACGCGGGCGGCAAGGCTCTCCTCCCCCGTGGGGCCCACGCCCACCATCTCACAGTCCATGGCTAAGGCTTTTGTCAGGCTGAAAGGGACCAAAGGCTCCAGTTTAATCCAGTACCCTGGAACTGGCAACAAAAGCTCTCCACTGACACCACCACCACCACTGTGACCAGCTCTATGACACCAGGAGGTGCCTGCCCAGTCCAGCTGGAGCAGAGGGGTGAGCAGAGGGGCAGTCCTGCCCTCCCGCTAGGCCCAGCCACGTACCCGCTGAAGGCCTGTTCCTTCACCAGCGCCACACCATTCTCCTTCTCACCCAGCTGTTTCCTCGCTATCTTGGCTGCCTCTGGGCCTATGGCCGCTTCGATATCCACCGGATCAACATCATCGAACCAGATGTCTTGTCTAAAAGGCAGAGAAAACAGGCTGACTGTATGGTTAGTGGAGACGCCCTAACCGCCATTGGCCTGAATGCCCATTCCCAGGCCCAGCAGCTCGTGCTATTTTAATCACAGGACACTTTTCCATTCATCACTTTTCTGTTTAAAAAATACGCTCATTATCTGAAATTTAAGAACTGCAAGTAAACGTAAAGAATACAAAATAGAAACACCCAACCCTCCACCGAGATATAATGACTGAGCTAATGTTTCCTTTTTAGTTACAAAGTAGTATGTTCATGTATCAAACATTTAGGAAACATATGTAAACACAAATGCTGATAAAATAGACACACAAAACCCCACTATGTTGTAATGACCAGTAGCCCTCAAGTCAGACTCTGATGTCCATGCAGGGATGTAAGTTTCTGCCTGCTAAATTACCTTTCAGGCTCTGATTAAATGTCATTTCCTAGAGATATTTCTGACCCCACATAGTGGAACTACTCCTTCCAACCACGCTTACAGAATTACTGAAATAATTTACCGTCTGTCTCTCCTACATGACCGTCGGCCTCAGCAGGGAGGGCCTGTGGCTACTGCTCTATTTCCAGACTGTGGCGTCCCTACCCCCCTTAGCAACTGTCCTCGACACCTCTGCGACATGCAACCAGCTTGACTTACAAACATGCCACCTCCAGCTGAGCCATTCAGAGGCGGCCACTGGCTCCTGGTCCTCCCCATGTGAGTGACCATCACAGGGTCTGCTGGGTAACCACTGGTCACTCAGCCAGTATATCCCATCTCACAGACACCCCCACCTCCCCCCGCCAAAAACACAGACAGGGAAGCTCAGGGGACGTCAAAACTTGTCCCAAACCACCCAACTAGCAAGATGTGGGAATTGGCTTCAAACTCAGGTCTTCCTGGCTTCTGACATTCGCTCATTCCACAAATCTTCACTGGGGGTACTCAGTGCCCAGCTCTGCTCTGGGCCCTGGAGATACAGCAGCTATGAAACAGGCCCTGCCCTCATTCTGCCTACATTCTAGGCGAGGGGAAACAGCTATTGACCAAAGAAACAAACAGCATCAGAGCAAGGTGATGGAGGGACTCAGGGAGGGCCCCATTCTCGGCTTCTTAAGGAGACAGGCCTTAGTCGCTATGACTCTGTCCTCAGCAATGAAGACCACAAGCGGGCTGCAGTGGGGTGGCAGAGGAGGCTATGCCCGTCACCATGGCTGGTCCTCGGGCAGAGACCCCCAGTACTTACTCGGTGGGCAGGGCTGGAGTCAAGGCTGCAGTCACCTCCTTAGCTTTCCGTTTCTTATGTTTGATGTCCCCTTGTTTTGGGGAAATGTCACCATTTGTCTTTTTCTTGGTTCCTTTCTCACTGTGCTCTGCTCCACTGGCCTTTGTGGGAGGTGCTGGCACCTTTCTGTTTGACAGAGATCCTCTCTTTGCCTCTCTGTTCTGTTGGATAATTTTGGGCTGCTTTTTGGAATCCATCTGAGAGATAACAAGAGGCTTTTCCGGGGTCTGTGATTTTTGTTTCAGCACCTAATGGGACCCAAAATAAAACACATGACAATTTTTAATTTGGATATCACGCACCAG